AAAGGGGGAAGAGAGAGAGAGAGAGAAAAAGAGAAAGAGAAACAGAGAAACAGCGATCAGTTGCCTTGCCTTCTGTATGTACCCAACTGGTAATCGAACTGGCAACCTTTGGTGCACAGGACAATACACAACCAACTGAATCATTCCAGCTGGGCTTCACCGCTGGATTTAACTTGGCTTTGCTAAACAGCGCCAGCCATCTTGCTAGGTCCTAGAGAACTGACTGGTAGGGCCGGGGGAGCAGCAGTCCATCACTGCACCTTAGCATAGCATGCATGCATGGCCAGAGTCACGGCTCTCTCCAGAAACAGGGAAGGTGGCCAGCGTGGCGATTTAGTCTAGTCTAGTTCTAGTACCAGTTTCATAACATACAGCTCTGATTTGGGGCACATCTCCTAATCTCTGACCTCACCTCTTCATCTACTCTCCCAGGGGCCAGACTAAGACCAACTAATGCATGATGTGGCTCTCGTCTACATTAACTGCTGCTTAAGCTTATGGAGTGTTTCCTTTTTGTGACTAGTTTATATTCTGACCTTTGAGATTTTGATCTTTATAGATTTTACTTTTTACTTAAGAAAAACCTGAGATACTGCCTAGGCTTTTAAAAAATTGCTGATAAAAATTATTACAGAGTTTTGAAGATAGCACACAATTTTTTCTGTTAGTAACAAAACCTTTTCATTTACCTATTATCCAGTTTGTTTTGTTTGAAGAAAACTTCCCTATTGTAGGCCTTACTAACAATGAAAAGAGATAAATTTCTGATCTAAATTATAGTTCTTTTGATGAATTCATGAAATGAGTTTGAGTTGACAGTTATAGATTAGGCTTTAAAAAAGTTAGAGACAAGTCCAAATCCTCATTATGCAGTTACTATACTGAGACCAAGTGATTAAGTAGCAAAATATTAAAATATTTATAAAGGGAAAATGGCAAATCACTGAACAGGAACAGAACACATGAACTGGGCCAGCACTGAGGCCTCCTCAGAAGGGTCCTTGTTCTAATGTGCTGCTCGCACATTGCTTAACTAAATGAATGTGGTTAAGGGAATCCAACTGAATTCAGCTATCTGTGTATTTCACAAAAGTACTGGTTAATTGTCCAAGGCTGAAGTCTGAAATTCAAATCTAAATCTTTTTCAGTGGGATCAATGAACTGAACTAACCACCTACTAAAAACGTAATGTTCCTATGAGTGTTGGACCAGGATTACAAAATCTGAGTTCTAGTCTCAGTTCTGCTAAGTAACTTTAGTCAAGAAAAACAAGTTGAATCTCTTTGCATTTAATCTCTGTAAGCCGGTACTCACCAGCTACAAAATGACAAGAATGACAATATGGTGTCTAGTGCCTCTGCCAGGACTTTAAGTTGGAGGATCTATGAAATCCAAAAGCAGAGAGAGGAGTGGATGTGGGGGAGATTGGTGTGTCCTTTTTTTTTTTAAATTCCTCACCTAAGGATATTTTTCTACTTATTATCAGATAGAGTGGGAGGGAGGGGAGAGAGAGACAGAGACAGAGAGAAACATTGACATGATAGAGCCACATCGACTGGTTGCCTCCCGCACAACCCGACCAGGGCCAGGGACGAACTACAGCTGAGGTACATGCCCTCGATCGGAATCGAACCCACAACTCATTGGTCTGCGGGCCAACACTCTAACCGCTGAGCCAGACTGGCCAGGGAATGTGTTTCCTTTTTGTATCCTGAGGATTTTGCATTAATTAACTACTTTTTCATATTATTCTTCTATCTGGCAAGTCTTCTAATGTCCCCCAAACCTTTTCCTATCCACAGCACTCCTTATCTGAGGCCCAGGTTACTTTGCACTTCCTCTATGAAGTCACTGTAGCACACACAATTTCTCCTTTCTGAACTCATTTATTGCCCTTACATCTCATTCATCTGTTAATCACGGTACATTGCTGCGGAATGTCTTCCTTTTATACCTAATCTCTAGGGAGTAGGTTACTGTAGAAAAAGTGTAGACCTTGAAGATAAATTAGATTTAGCTGCATGCTCTTAGGCCGGCCACTTTTTAAAAATATATATTTACTTTATAAATAGGTAGCACATTTTTGAATAGGTAATTTTTTTCAAGATAATAAAAAGGGGAAGATACAGTGAAAAGTCACCTTCTACCCCTAGTCTAACACCACACTAGTCTTTCCCCCACTGTTATTAGTTTCTTACACATCCTCCTGGAGATTTTAATTTTTTCTTTTTTTTTTATGTTAAAGATGACACACTAATGTAGTCTTAGGTATGTTGCTTTTTTTCACCTAATTTATCTAGGAGATGTTTTTCCTTTTTTAAATATGTTTTTATTTATTTTTTTAGAGAGAGAGGAATGGAGAGAGATAGAAACATTGATCGGCTGCCCCGTACTGGGGATCGAGCCCAAAACCTGGGCATGTGCCCTGACTGGGAATCGAACCGGGACCTCTCAGTCCATGAGACGACACTCAATCCACTGAGCCACACGGGCTGGGCTATTTGGAGATCTTTTTATATTACCTCACAGTGAGCTTCCTCATTGTTCTTCAGGTTTTATGGGTGAACCATAATTTAACCAATGGTTGGGAATTTTTACTTGGGTAAAGTCCCAAATAATTTTAAAATTTGAATGACCTTTGTGCCTTATCTAAGAAATATGCTCTTTATTTATCTAAAACTTGTATTTTTGTAGTACATTATAATTTTTAAGCACTTTACATTCTAAGCTGTTAATCTTCACAAAACCTCTTTGGGGTAGATAATTACTCTATAGATTTTACTAGATAGATAGAGCAAATAATCTATTTAGGATTTTGTTGACCGTGGTGTAAGATTCTTGAATAAAAGCTCACCGTGCTCTCCTCATGTGCTCTATTACAAATAGAGGGCTTGCTTGAGAAACACAGCCTGCTTTGTAGGGCTGATAAAAGTCTTCATTTCATTTACAGCCATTTGTGAATTTACTTCCTTTACTTTACTTCCTTAAAACCAGTGGAGCATGTAGAAAATGACCTGCACAGAAATGAAGCTTTGAGAAGCAAAACAAATGTAGAAAGAATATGTTCTTTTTATAGATTCAGTACTTTTAATCTTAAAAAATCCTAACTGAAATATGTTTAGGCAGAAAAAAGTGACTTGCTTAATAGAATTGCAAATATTCATTGAGATGAATGTGGCTCTTTAAGTGGTTAAATGGGTAGGGCTGAGAGAAATAGGAAAATTGTTTTTTTACAAAAAATTTTTTCTCTATTGACTTTAGAGAGAAAGGGAGAGGGAGAGAGAGATGGAAACATCGATGAGATAATATCGATTGGCCGCCTCCTGCATGCTCCTCACTGGGGATTTGGCCCACAGCCTGGGCATGTGCCCTGACCGGGAATTGAACCGTGACCTCTTGGTACATGGGTCTGTGCTCAACCACCGAGCCACACTGGCCGGGCGAAAAATTTTAACCTGGGATTTCACATTTAGTAATAATCTGTGTTAAAGGAAGTGTAGCCTTAGCTATGTAATTCGACCTGTTAAGAATGTGCAAATGATATTGAAGGAATTTGTTTTATTTTTTAATTTTCATTTAATGTGAAACAAGATTAGTACTGAGATAGCCCAATCTGCTAATTCAACTACCTGCATGTTAAAGTGTGTACTTAGCTTATCAACAAGACCAGTAACCCTTTATATATGGAATGCTAATTTTCTGCAAAATATTTCAACCATTTTATTTTATTTTTTATTTATTTATTTATTTTTATCCTCACCAGAGGACATTTTTTCCATTTTTTTTGTTCAGGTAGAGTGGGAGGGAGAGAGAGGAACAGAGAGAGAGAGAGAGAAACATCGATGTGAAAGGAACACATCGAGTGGCTGCCACCCGCACAACCAACCAGGGCCGGGGACAAACTGCAACCGAGGTACGTGCTCTTAGCGGAACCGAACCCGGGTCTCTCAGGACCATAGGCCGACACTCTAACCGCTGAGCCAAACTGGCCAGGGCTATTTCAACCATTTTAGTAACTCCTGAGATATTTATTGTTTTTTTAATAGGATTATTATTATTTTTTTATCCTCACCTGAGGACATTTTTTTGTTTTTTGTTCAGATAGAGTGGGAGGGAGAGAGAGGAAGAGAGAGAGAGAAACATCAACGTGAAAGGGACACATTGAGTGGTCGCCACCTGCATGACCCAACCGGGGCCAGGGACAAACTGCAACTGAAGGTACATGCCCTTAGTGGGAACCGAACCCGGGTCTCTCTGGACCGCAGGCTGACGCTCTAACTGCTGAGCCAAACCGGCCAGGGCTTCTGAGATATTTTTGCTATTGATTTTTTTTCATATTTAGAAACTGGGCCCTTGATGTCTTTTTTTTTTTCTCTTTTTACTTTTACACTTTTAAATGCTAACGCTGAAAACAGCCTAACACCATAGATTTTCAGAGATGTTTGGACACTTAGAGATTACCAATTGTATTTGTGATATTTGTATATTAACTTGGCCCTTTCTACTGAACAAATGAGAAAGCTGCAGTCCAGAGAGGCTATGACTGGCCCATGTCAGCCGCCTTGCCCAGGTCTCCTGGCTGGAGCTGCTCAGTCAGTATAGGTTCTTTTTCTTACAGCTCTAATCGACTGACACTGCTCTACTTGGGGAGAAGTTTAATTTTGATCACATTCTCATGCTCTTTTCCCCCTTTCTCTTTCTAATGTGGGACAATTAATACAAAGCTACAAATATTATAGTCACCGATCTTGCATAGAGCCTGGCTCAATGTGGTCAAGTAAGGGAGACTCATTTGAAGTGTACCAGAACTGGGGAAGGAATGAGAGACACTCATGGGTAACAAGTGGGGGGCTGGCAGCTGAGCAGTACTCATCCGCATTTGCTAGTTTATTCTCCATCTTTCTCTCCCCAGGGCAGGGAGCAGCCAGTTGTGTTCAGACAGGGAAGGTACCGTGTGCCGGTTAGTGGCGGCCTTTAAATAACTTTTGTTTCCCTCTTAGGTCCTTTCCCATAACCTGTGCACGGTGCTGAAGGTTCCACATGATCCTGTTGCCCTTGAAGAACACTTCAGGGATGATGATGAGGGTCCCGTCTCCAATCAGGGCTACATGCCGTATTTAAACAAGTTCATTTTGGAAAAGGTATGATTCTATCTAACCTCTTTTTGCTTACAGTGTTGTTTGATTTGCATATTTCAAATGGGCCCCAGAGCCCCTGGTTGGTGAGTTCACTAAGGAGTTCGGTTGTGAGGCATCAAGAAAGGAAATCAGCCTGGCCAGTGTGGCTCTGTGGTTGAGCCTTGACCCATGCACCAGGAGGTTTCGGGTTCGATTCCCAATCAGGGCACATGCCTGGGTTACAGTCTCAATTTCCAGTAGGGGGCATGCAGGAGGTAGCCAGTCGATGTTTCTGTCTCTTCCTCTCCCTCTCTCTCTAAAAATCAATAAAAAAAACACATTAAAAATAAAAAATGTTATAGTTACTTAAAAAAGAAAGAAAGACAGGAAATCAGAAAGAATGAAAGATGGATGTCGCTTTCTATTTCTCCCTCTTCTCCACTGTCTTCTAAAACTTGGTTTGAGCCCTGGCCGGTTTGGCTCAGTAGTTGGAGTGTCGGCCCTCAGACCAAAGGGTCCTGGGTTCAATTCTAGCCAAGGGCACGAACCTTGGTTGCAGTTTGTCCCTGCCCTGGTTGGGGTTATACGGGTGGCAACCAATAGATGTATCTCTCTCACATTGGTGTCTTCCCCCCCCCCCCACTCTGTCTGAGGATAAATGTAAAAATATCCTCGGGTGAGGAATTAAAAAAAACCCCACAAAACATGGTTTGATAATTTCCCAACTTGGCTCATTTTTGGAGATTAAGAAGTGTATTTTGTTTTAATCTGTACCTGTTTTCTCTTAGGGTGCTTTTTGTTTCTTTTAACATTCTGATTCCACATGTATTGGCAATGATCGTAAAAGCCCAGGTGGGATGGGGTGAAATCTGAGCACTGAAGGTGATGTTAATTGTCTTTACTAAATAGATATTATACAGCAAAGTTTTCATCCTAGACTTTTCAGAATACCACTTGAATGCTTCCTCTGTGGTATGTTATGAGTAAAGATGTTGCAAAAACCTATTATGTGTTTGGAAGCCAAATAGTAAACCTATTGGCATTTGCTGCCATGTTTAGTTTCTTCCTTGGTTTGGATAATTAAAAAATTGACACATCAATGTGTTGAATTTAATGTACTTTTCAGAGGAAAATTTCTTTTTAGAAGAAAGTAACTTAAACTGATGGTACATTTAAGTAATTTTAAAAATTGGTGATTAAAAATTATGAAAGGTAGTACATGCTTATTAAATAGGCAATTAATACAGAAATGTATGCAATAAAAAAAATGAATGTTTCTTTAACCCTTTTTAGTTTGACTCCCCAGGAGTAACCACTCATAACATTTTGGTAAATATCTTTGCAGACCTTTTTAATACACATGCAAACACATACTACATGGTACATAAAGTTTTGTTTCTACATGAATAGGATCATGCTGTACATATAGTTCAACTTGTATTTTTTTAACTGAAAAATATTAATGTCATTTTCCGTATTATGTACCTTTAGTTTAGGTATGAAAGTAATCATGTGAAGGGTTGGAAATTCCTGCTTTTACCTATTCATGACATCAAGCATGAAATTTTAATTTTATTTTAAAAATTAAAGACAGTAATTTCAAAATTGCCCTTTAAAAAGTGACAGTGATAATACTTTTAATTAAAAAATAAAACACATTTTATTTTATTATTATTACGTTAAATATGTTTTTATTGATTTTTTAGAGAGAGAGGAAGGGAGAGAGCGATAGAAACATCAGTGTGAGAGAGAAACATTGATTGGCTGCCTCCTACATGTCCTCTATTAGAGATCAAGCCTATAACCTAGGTGTGTGCCCTGACGGCATCAAACCAGGGCTATGGGACGATGCTCAGTCCACTTAACCACACTAGCCAGGCATAAAATGCATCTTTAAAAAATCTCTATTTCCGTCTGGCCTGTGTGGCTCAGTGGTTGAGCGTCGGTCCATGTACCAGTAGGTCACTGGTTCAGTTCCCGGTTGGAGCACATGGCCAGGTTGTGGGCTAAATCCCCAGTGAGGAGGTATGCAGGAGGTGGCCAGTCAATGTTCTCTCTCATCGATGTTTCTATCTCCCTCTTCCTTTCTCTCTCTCTGAAATCAATAAAGAAAAAAAAATCTCTTATTTCCCATCACCTAATTATGATGTCTATTTACATATTTTTTTCCCTGTGGCTTCTTTGGATTTTTATATGTATAAATCCTATTTTTTCTTTCTTTTTTTGTTAACCCTCACCCAAGGATATTTTCCCCTTGATTTTTAGATAGAGTGGAAGGGAGGGAGGGAGAGAGAGAGAGAAACATTGATGTGAGAGGGACCTATTGATTGGTTGCCTCCCGCACAACCTTGATGGGGGCTGGGGATTAAACCTGCAACCCAGCTATGTGTCCTTGACTGGGAATCAAACCCGCTACTCTTTGGTCTGAGGGCTGACACTCTACTGCTGAGCCAAACCAGCCAGGGCTATATGTATAAATTATTTTTATTACTTGATGTGTTTGTATAATAACAAAGTACAGTAAATTAAAATTTATAATGATAATTTAAGTTAGTAATTTGGAAAATGCCAAGTGTTGGTCAGGATTCTTTTGAGAAATCACATTTTATTTTTCAGAAATTTTGAAGCAAAGATTGTCAAAATTACATTGTTTTCATTTATGTAGTAGTCTTTGTAACTATATCTATTATTTCATATCAGTCTCATAATACCATTTTCTGCTCTTTGTGTATGTATATACTTTATATGTATATATGTTATATATATGCATTTTAAGTATTTTCCCTTGCATAGATGATAAATTACCTTGACCATGCTTTAATTAGAAAAAAAGAGAGAGAAACCACACTATAATGAAATATAAGATTTAACCAAACTTAAAAGCCACATATTGTATGATTCCATTTATGTGAAATGTTCCAAATAGGCAAACATATAGATATACAAAGTAGATTAATAGCTGCCAGAGGCTGAGAGGAAGTGGGAATAGCGAGTGACTACTAATCAGTATGGGTTTCTTTCTAGGGTGATGAAAGTGTTCTAGTTATATAGTGATGGTGGTTGCAAATCCTTGTGCATGCACCTCACACGGAATGGCTGTCATTAGTAAATCCATAGATGACAAGTGCTGGCGAGGGTGTGGAGAAAAGGGAACCCTAGTGCACTGCTGGTGGGAGTGCAGACTGGTGCAGCCACTGTGGAAAACACTATGGAGTTTCCTTAAAAGATTAAAAATGGAACTGCCTTATGACCCAGTAATTCTACTTCTGGGGATTTATCTGAAGAAACCCAAAACACTAATTTGAAAGAATATATATACCCCGGTGTTCATAGCAGCTATTATTTTTTTTTTTTTTTATCCTCACCAGAGGACATTTTTTTTTCCATTTTTTGTTCAGGTAGAGTGGGAGGGAGAGAGAGGAACAGAGAGAGAGAGAGAAACATCGATGCGAAAGGAACACATCGAGTGGCTGCCACCCGCACAACCGACCAGGGCCGGGGACAAACTGCAACCGAGGTACGTGCCCTTAGCGGGAACCGAACCCGGGTCTCTCAGGACTGCAGGCCGATGCTCTAACCGCTGAGCCAAACAGGCCAGGGCCATAGCAGCTATTATTTACAATAACTAAGCTATGGAAGCAACCCAAGAGCCCATAAATAGACGAGAGGATAAAAAAGCTGTGGTACGCCCAGCTGGTGTGGCTCAGTGGTTGAGCATCAACCCACGTACCAAGAGGTCGCCCGATCCATTCTCAGTCGGCACGTGCCCAGGTGTGGGCAAATCCCCAGTGGGGGGCATGCAGGAGGTGGCCAGTTGATGTTCTCTCGCATTGATGTTTCTGTCTCTCTCTCCCTCTAAAATGAATAAAGAAAAAAATAAAAAGCTGTGGTGTGTGTGTGTATATATATATATATATATAAATAATGGAATATTGCTCGGCTATAAAAAAAGAATGAAATCTTATAATTTGCTACAGCATGGAGGGACCTAGAGGGTATTATGCTGAGTGAAATAAGTCAGTCAGAGAAGGACAAATATCATATGATTTCACTTATATATAGAATCCAAAGAACAAAATAAATAAACAAACAAAACAGAAACAGACTCATGAATGCAGAGAGAGAAGTGAACTGGTGGTTGCCAGATGGGAAGGAGGGATGGAGCGCTGAGTGGAAGAGGTGAAGGGACCAAGAAGCACAGATTGATTGGTAGTTACAGAATATTCACAGGGAAAGTAAGTAAGCATAGGAAATATGGTTGTTAATACTGTAATAGCTGTGTATGGTGCCAGATGGGGTACTGGAAATGGTAAGGGGAACACTATGTAAAAAATATGATTGACCACTAAAAAACAAACAAACAAAAAAAACCTGTGAATATACTAAAAACTGTATTGTACACAGGTGAATTATAGTTCAATAAAAAAGATTTAATCATATTGTGCAGAGACTGGTGTGTGAACTCTCAAAACTTCACAGTAGATGCTGTACTATTCTCTGGAGCTTGGCGTAGCTGCTGTTCTGTTCAATGATCAGGTAGCTCATTCGTGCCCTAAAGTTGCATTATATGTACATATGTCTTATATTCAGCAAATATTTGATGACCTGTTATGTGCATGTGTTTAATCTTAAAAATGTCTGTTATTAAAATATGGAACATATTGGGAAAGCCCTAGAAATCTGGAAATTGCTTTGTTTTTCAGTGCTAGAATTTGTGTGATCTGGGCCAGTAGTTAGAGAAACATGGTTTAATATCTTAAAGTGCCATGCCCTAAATCCTGCATTTTGTTCTCCTGGGTGTGACTTTCTTTAAGCATCTTGAACTTTACGCTTTAAAATGTTCTTTATTTTTATATTTAGATATTTTAAAGTTTTGTAACTGGGGGAGAAAATATAGCAGTATTTAAAAAGTCCAAAATTAGCCACTAAATTTAGAGAAAACCTTATTCACAGAGCGGGTTAGGATGTGATGAAACAGTGAGCCCTTGTTTACTATTGCGTAGCCACCTGGAGTGGGATTTTGC